GCGCGCGCGGCGGCGCGGGACTCGGCGCGCGCGAGCGCGGCGCGGGCGGCGGAGGGGGGCGTGCCGACCACCTTTGCATAACCAGCGGCGGCGGGGCCCTTTGCTAGGTGGTACGCCAACACCAGCAGGGCGCAGCCGGGGGCGACGGAAGTGATTTGAAGGTAATGCAGCCCCCGGGGCAGCGACCCCAGGAGCATTATCAGGTACAGCCCAAACCCCAGCGCGCGGGCGCTCGCGCCAAAGTCGTGCCACAGCAGCAGCGCCCGCACCGCCTCCGCGCGCGGCCCCATCTCATCGGCGCCGCCGCCGCCGCCGCTGCTCCTGCGCCAGCTGGTGCGGGTCGAGCGGCGCCGCGAGGGGCCGCCGCCAGCAGGCGTGCCGCGGGGGCTGGGGCTGCCTGAGCCCCAGTGCGCGCCGCTCTCGCTGCCGCTGCCGGGCACCTCGTGATCTGATGCCACGTCATCACCATTGGCGCCCCCGAGCCACCCCAGGGGGCCGTTCGGCCAAATTGCCTCCGCCTGGTGCTGCTCCTGCTGCTCCTGCTGCTCCCGCTGCTCCCGCTGCTGCTGTTGCTGCTGTTGCCGCTTGCCGTTCGACGCCGGCGGCTCGGGGGCCGGCGCAGCGTCCGCCGCGGCGGCCGCGGCGGCGGCGACGGCGGCCACGACTGCCTGCGTCGCGGCGCGGCCGGCCGCGCCGGACAGCCAGCCATACCCCTGCATCGCCTCCCGCAGGCCCGCGCCGAAGCTCTGCCTCGCGGCGGGCACCGCGGGCGCGGCCTGCGGCGGCGCGCTCGCCCTTGCGCCTGTCGAGACAGGCAGCGGCGCGAGGGGCGGGGAGGCGCCTGCGCCGGCGGGCGACGGGGCGGCGCCGATCACGTACTCTTGCACCCACGCGCCCGCGCCATCCCACGCGCTTTCCGCGGCCGCGGGCGCGGCGCCGCCGGCCGGCTGCTGCCCGCCGGCGGGCCGCTGCTGCTGCGGGCGGCGCCGCTGCTGCTGCGGCTGCGCCAGCTCGCTGGCTGAGTCTGCGCTGTGCAGCCAGCCGCCGGCGGGCTCGACGGGGGGATACGCGCCGCCGGGGCGGTTGGCCTTGCCTGCGCCAGCCGCGGAGGCGCGCGTGCTGTAGCGGCCGTTGTTGGCTGACAGCCTGTGGGCGGTGCTGGCGTCGTCGCCGCCCGCTGTGAGGTGGCCGTGGAATGCCGTCGCCGTTGCGGCCGAGAAGCCGCAGACGCAATGATACATGGTGACGCGGTGGCGGGCAGCCTGCTAGTGCCAAAGGCTGACGGGGGCCGCCGCTAGCAACCTTCAAAACGGCGCCGCGCTGCGAAGCTGCGCCACCGAGGGGCCTGGGCGTCGCTGTCGTGTAACGGTACAAAATGCCGAAGGGAATACGTTTTAAAACGATGTTTATGAGTCCAGAACTTGGGCCATCGACGAACAAAAGTGTGCAGCAGTGCAGTTGTTCGATGCGCTGCTGTCAACCCTCCAGGCGCGCGCTCAAGCGCCGGGGCTACCATGCAGAGCCGTGACAGCCATAAGGTGATATATAAAATCGAAATATCACAGGACAATAATCCCTGTCGCGCTCTGACTCCCTTGGAAGGTCGCGCACCTGGTTCTGCCCGTGCTCACGCTCCCGGCCCCTTGACCGCCGAGGCGTGTGCGGACATCAATTAAGCTATGTACAGCACCTCCGATGCTAAAGATCTTGAGCTGTAGAGATCATGCGGTTTGAAAGTGCAGCACCCTCCAAGCAAGCAATGTTGCAGAGGCGCAAGCTTGTGGAGGTCTAAGATGTATCAGTATACTTACGATGTAGTACGGCAGATATCATATGATAAAGGGATGAGCCTAGCGGAGTGGAGTCCATGGCGGCGCCCTTCCCTGATCACCTCCGCTCCAGCTGTCCTGTGGCTCCGATGTGAACGCGTGGTGGTCATCAGCGACATCATTGGAGCCCGATCAGCGGAGAAAATGACGTCACAGGCGCGACATGCCTGCACATCCAATACACATTGCAATACTCTGATGCCGGCCCCAGCACGGGGGACCTCCACGGCATGTGAAGGCTAGTGAGGCAGTACAGCCGCAAGCGCCGCTCGCCCTGCATCCCACCGCTCTGCCCTACGTTTATGGCGCGGATACAGGACCAATTGCTTGCTGAATTGAGTGGATGTTGTGCTGCACAAGGCACGCCTTGGGCAGCCTCAGCTGGCTCCGGAACAGTGCAGTTGGACAGTACTGCCTGCACCGCAGGACGCTCGCTTGCGACTACAGGGCCGCCAGCGGCCTCTGCCGCCACGCTTTCATATATCAAGTGCCGAGGGGTTTTTGGTTGACGCATCGAGTTGTAGTGAGATCAAAAGCAAGGACAACGGGCTGCTGGAGAGAAAGCTGCTCGCTGTTGCAGTTGTGCAGGGAAGAGCAGCACGCTGAACTTATACACATCCAAGGAAAGCCGCAGTTACTGGACCCGGTGCCATAGTGATGTTCAGCGCCGCCTTTGGGGCCATTTGGTGCGGTGCAGCAAAGCGCTGCTGTTGGATGGCGCAAGTTGGCTTTGCACAGCACCACGGAAGGTGCTCATTCCACAAGACTCCTGCCGAGCCACTGAGAGGCAGGCGCATGTCTGGGCCCAGGCGGGTAAACATATGCCTCTTTACGGTAGCGACCTCACTGGTGGGCTGGTTGGTATATGGTGATCATGGTCAAACCTTCCGCCCAAACCTGCTCCCATTGCAAGCCACGGCATGCTATTATACACTCGTCGATCAAAATTTATAAAGTTGCTAACGTGTGAGATCCAAGAAATATGCCATCACAGTCATTGCCGGCCAACCAGCTCCGCCCGGACATCACCTCTTGTTTAATGCCAAGCATAAAGGGCGCTTGATCAATATTAAACCAGTAATTTGTTGGTTCTTGTATTACTTACGTCGGCCATTGCAGCAGAAGCCCCGCAAGGCCCCTGGCAATTTGTACCAGCCCGTCAACGATGGGGGTTTGGGCTCACGCCGTGCTGGCGTGCGCCTTACTCTGCGGAGCACAGGTAGGGAATTTCTCTGAATCTTAGTGCGTTCCACTCGGTTGTGTAGCATCGCACAGGGTGATCCCGATCGGCTCGCCGCGCGGCGGCCAACCGCGGCTGATCTTCGCTACAGCATTCTCGCTGCGCGTGGGCTCGCGCCATGACCAGAGGCCCCTTCTGCCGGCCGCAACAGCGCAACTGATAACACCTTGACTCCCGCATGCCGCCCATCAGGCCCTCCTGCCTGAGATGCCGGACGTGATCCTGGGCGGCGCCCCCACCGCCAAAGGCGCCAAGGCCGCCGTCGGCCTCGACGCCGGCGCCTGGGGCAGCCCCGCCGCCCCCTCGGCGCGCGGCGCACGCGGCGCGGGTCGCTTCCTGGGCCGCCTCGAGGACCAGCCGGGATATGGATCCTACCTCTGCTATAACAAGGGCATGTTTGACGACGTGCCTGCTGACGTGGCGGACCTCAAGCGCGTCGTGCTCGCCGCGCCCGAGGCCGTGCCGGCCGCGGGCGCCGCGGCGCCGACCATCAGCGAGGTTGCCGAGTGGGCTGCGGCCAAGTGAGCGGTGGTGTTGGTCACAAGGGTCGGACGAGGACGCTTGACCGGCCGGCCGCTGCTACTCCGCATGCAGGACCGCCGCGGCCTGGCAGAGCAAGCAGGTGGTGACATGTGGTGACCGCCCATCCCCCTCCCGGCTTGGACTCTGTCTCTTTCAAGTCTTCTTACTTTCCTCTGCACACATCATGATCTTGCAAGCCCGCATCTGCCCTCGCCCATGCCCATTCCTCCAGGTTTGGGGTCCCCGCCGAGCAGCTGGTGCCTGAGGTGCTGAGCTCCGCGCTGAGCTCCAACGACTGGGTGGATGAGAAGGGCATCCGCCACGTGCGGCTGACTCAGCACTCGGACCAGTTCGACATGGGGTGAGCTCGGCCGTGGCTCGACGCGCCGTCAGCAGGGCACAGTCCGAAGAGGGTTTGGGCCTGGGTCCCGTATTGCGGCTGGGCGGCAGCTTGGCAAATGCTGGTTTCTAGATTCGGAGCGAAAATGTGAACAAGCGGCGCTGCTGCGTGTCTAGCAACGTGCTGCAATGAAAGTGCTTGCCTGGTCTGGGATCCTCCAAGCTGAGACCATACCGACATTTGCACTACACACAGGGTTGACTACGGGGCCGTCGTCGTCCACCTTGCCAACAACAAGGTCATCCTTGTCACCGGTGAGACTGCTACTGCTCCCTTGACTGACCGTTGCAGCTGCACAGCAGTCTGGTGGATTTCAACATGCATGGGTCTGGCTTTGCAGCCGTCGCAGCCGTTGAGAGATCAGAATTTCCGCGCCCAGCCTCTGCAACCCACGCCGCACCTTCCTGCCGTTGCACGCAATCAACCATCGGGCTCAAAATCAGACTGCCGCCAACTGGCGCCGTACCTGACCTTTGTGTCATTACACAACCAATTTTTAACCCCTAAACCGCCAATATCAAACCGCTCCCAGGCGGCATCGTCCCTGACCTGGAGGGCAAGACCTCCAAGGACGTCAACGCCGCCTCAACCTTCATCTCCCCCTCTGAGGCCTCCGCCGCCGCCATCCGCGCCGCGCTGTCCACCGTCCCGGCCGCGTCCAAGGGCCTGTCCGACCGACTCAAGGCCGCCGCCGCAGCGCCGACCGCCGCGTCCCTGACCGCGGCTAGCGCTGCGCCGTCGCCGGCGCGCGTGCTGCACTGCGGGCAGTCGTCGTGCCGCCCCACCTACAAGCAGGTCGTGTTCCTGCCGCACACCGCGGCGTCGAGCCCGAAGGAGCTGCACATCTACGTCGACGCGACCAACGGCAAGGTGGTTTACCTGGACAACCGCCTGCGCACGCGCTCCATGTCCAGCCTGGACGCCAACCCCAAGCGCCGCGGCCAGGACGTGCTCTGGCTGTCCCTCGGCCGCGGCAAGAGCCTGTACGCGGGCGAGGTGGCGATCAACACCGCGGCCAGCACGGCAAAGGCGAAGGGGGGCCCGTACCAGCTGAACGACCTGACTCAGAACGCGATGACGTACGACATGCTCAACAAGGACGACGACTACTTCTACAGCGTCCAGAAGGACACCCTCTTCCGTGACAAGGACAACGAGTGGTGCGCAGAACTGGGGCGAGGGGGAGGGGCATGCGGTTCAGCAGCTGCGCGCCGTCGGGGGTTGCACAGGGCAAGCGGCGCCCGCTCGAATTGCAGCGATTGACGCGCCGGCCCTCTGCCTTCTCAGGGGCGACTTCACCCCCAAGAACCGCCAGAGCGCCGCGGTGGACGCCCACTGGGGCGCGACCACCACCCTGTACTACTACAAGGACCAGCACAAGCGCATCGGCGTCGACGGCCGCGGCGGCGCGCTGAAGAGCCGCGTGCACACCAGCACGGGCTTCGACAACGCCTACTGTGAGCACTTGGTTTGGGGCCGCTAGCCACGGCTGGCTGCTTGCAGTGGTGGAGCGGGTTTGCAGCAGGCATCTGGCTGTGGCGCGATCATGGGGGTATCTGTGTAGATTGTGCGCCTCCTGTGAACAGCTGGTGATCATTGAAATGTGAATGTCCACAGGTGTGTGCTTGCAGGAGCAGGCTGCTGGCTCTAGAGTGCTGGTGCTCACATGCAGATAAGCCGTTCACTCGCGCTTGCGATCTTCGTTACTCACGGACCTTCAAACGCAACCTCCCGCCGCAGGGTCCAACGATCAGATGACGTACGGCGACGGCAGCCGCGACCCCAAGACCTGGAACACCTCCTGCGAGGGCTTCCCCCCGCTGACCACGCTTGACATCATCGCCCACGAGCTCACTCACGGCGTCACCGAGTACTCCGCCGGCCTCATCTACCAGGTGGGGGTTTTGGACATATGCTCGGCTGGGCCGAGCCGCAAGGAGGCATTCACGCATGTGCCAAACAGCAGCAATGGCTGGTTACCCGGTCACCCGCTTCCAGTGGCTCTGCAGCGCGTTGGCAGAAAACGTATGTGAGGGTGGGGCAGGAACAGCGCTGCAGTCAGGCCGGGTTGTTCAGTGTGCACGTGTGAATGAGGGCCCGAGGCCTCACCACATCTGGACGGATTTGACACTGATTGCCGAACCTCCCCAAATCCTGATGTTCCATCTGCTGGAGCTATGCTGACTCTTATGCCAATCCTCTCGCATCTGCACGCGTCTGCAGCAATCCATGGGCGGCATCAACGAGGCCATGTCTGGTGAGCCCACCACCCTGACCTGATTACGTGACACTGGACCGGGCCGTCGCGCCCTATCTGTTTCGCGCCTCACACAAGCCATTATCCCCCTCCACACACACACACACACACACACACCGACCCTGTTCCCCCCCCCC